TTTTCCCCAAGAAGACATACAAATGGCCAATAAGTACTTAAAATAGGGTCTAGACCAATAATTATTATGGAAATTGAAATCAAAACTACAAAGCGCTATCACCTCATACCCTCTAGGGCGGCTATTAAAAAAATAAACACAAGTGTTGATGACAAAGTGGAGAAAACTAGAACCCGCACTTGTCAGTGGGAATGAAGAACAGTGTAGCCACTGCAGGACGCAGCATGGCAGTTTCACAAAAATTAAACGGAGTTTTTATTTGATCCCGTTATTACGTTATCTGAGTACACACCCAAAATAATGGAAAGCAGGAACCCAAAAAGATATTTGCACACCCAGGTTCATAGCAGCACTAGTCATGACAACCAAAAGGTTGAAACAACTCAGATGTCCATAGACAGATAAACAGGTGAACCAATGTTGCATATAACAATATTCGTTCATAAAACATTCACAATGGAATATCATTCAGACATAACAAGTGAGAAATTCTGACACAGGCTTCTTTACCGTCTGAGCCACCAGGGCCTGTAAGAGGTCCCTCAGTTCAGTTCAGTCGCTCAGTCGTGTCCGACTCTCTGCAACCCCATGGACTGCAGCATGCCAGGCTTCCCTGTCCATCACCAACTCCCAGAGTTTACCCAAACTCATGTTCATCGAGTCGGTAATGCTATGCAACTACCTCATCCTCTGTCACCCTCTTCTCCTCCGCCTTTAATCTTTCCTAGCATCAGCGTCCTTTCAAATGAGTCAGTTCTTTGCATCAGGTGGCCAAAGTATTAGAGTTTCAGCTTCAGCATCAGTCCTTCCAATGAACATTCAGGACTGACTTCCTTTCAGATGGACTGGCTGGAATTCCTTGCAGGCCAAGAGGTCCCTAGAGGAGTCAAATCCATAGAGACAGAGTGTAGATGGCAGGGACCAGCGGCTGGGGGAAGAGAGAAGAGACAGGTTTTGGTGGGGACAGAGGGTCAGTCTGGGGAGATGATAAAGATGGGAGACGGATGTGGTGATGGTTATACAATGATGTGAGTGTGGGAGACGGATGTGGTGATGGTTATACAATGATGTGAGTGTGCTTAATAGCCTAGAACTGCAACTTTCATTGTAAAGCAATTATCCTCCAATTTAAAAATACATATACATATGTAAAAAGTGGTTGAGACGGTAAACTGTACGTTAGGTATGTCATATCATAATAAAAATTAATTTAAAAATAATGTGGATGAATCTCACAAACACAACATTCCACACAGAATAACTAGACACAAAAAAATATGCCCTGTGATACTGCTTTTGTGAATTTCAAATACATCTAAATGAAAGTATGAGACTCCACCACGTGTGAGAGCCATTTCAACAGCCGTGCTGGGGACCCCGGGAAGCCGTATGAATGTTGGTGGCAGGTGTCTCTATGCAGAAGCCAGCGCTTCATGTTCTGGTCTAAGGTCCACCGGGTCAGTGGCTCGGCCACCTGCAGGCCTGCCACGCTCACACACACACCACTGGAGGAGAGAGCAAGGTCCGAGCCAACCAAAGGCTTCTTTCTGGGAGGACGAGAGCAACGCGGGCGGACCAGCCCCTCCGGAAACCACCCACGAGAGAGGGAGCCACCTGCAGACACAAGTCCAGCCTCAGGCACGGGCCGGGGGTGAGCGCGGGCAGCCTGGGGTCAGCAGGCAGGGCCGGATGAGACGCACGCGGGACACCTGCGTCTCCACCCCGCCAACCTGCAAGGTGGAGGGCTGAGGGAGCCCCAGGGATGGACCTGAGGGGCGCCGGGCTGGGGGGCCCGTGGGGCCACTTGGACGAACACCCGGGGAAGGCCCGCGGCCAGCCCCCGACCGGCTGGCCTCCTTCTGACCACCCACCCCGGCGCGGCTCCGTGCTGCCGCAGAGCTGGCTGCGCTATTACACAGCCGCCCGCGGGCTGGCATCTTCAGCGCTGCCCTGGCTTCCGCCGTCTCTGTGGCAGCCGAGCAAGTTGGGCACTCTTGACATGAATGCTCGCATGTGGCTGAGGTCACTGTGGCTCCGGGACAGACGAAGCTGTCTGCCATGTGGGCAAGGACACAGGGCTGCAGGGGCCTCAGACAGGTGTGTTTCAGGAGGCGGCCCTTCCAGCCCCTGGAAGAGCTTTCGATCCTGCGGAAAATTCGCATCTCGGGAAGCCCGAGTCAAGGGGCCTGCCCAGGGCCCTGGGCAGTGTGATTGTTGTGGAGCTCCTGGCTAAGGAGGGACCTCTTCTGGGGGTGGGGGTGGGGGTGCTCTCACCATGGGGCCCCCGTGGTGGGGCAGGAGGCTGCCAAGCACAGACCCGGGCGATCGGGTGTAAAACCCCAGGTCTGGAAGTCAGCCGTGCCCTAAGTATGGTGCTGTGACGTGGAGCCGTCAGGAAATGACGTCTGGAAGCACAGCGGCCTTGTTAGGAGACCCGCCTGGGCTGGAAACAGGAGCAGAGGCGGCCAGCTGAGCCCTGGCCGCCTGTGGAGAGCACGCCGGGGGTTGGGGAAGACAGGGAGGGCAGTGCTGCAGGAGGGGACCGGGACCCGACCCACCACCAGCACTCCGGGCACAACCTCGCGTGACCTGCCAAGCCTCACCCCACGTCTGGGAAAACAGGCAGGGGTGCGGTGAGCCCAGCACACAGCACTCCCGCCCCTCCGCAGCTGCCAGCCTGCTGGCTCGGGCCCCCCTCGTGGGACCGCACTCCGCAGGCCCGAGCGGGCTCAGCCCCGACGCCCCACACGTGGACCACGACTCGGACTCCAGGACAGCCACTGACCGCTCCCAGCTTCGCCCATCAGAGACCTCTTTGAGCCTCCCTCACCCACGCTGGTCCCCACCTAAGAGCGCGCCCCAACAGGAGGGCTGCTGGGCTCCCCATGTCCACTGGAGCGCGAGTTCGAGGGGTCCCTCCTCACGGATGGGTGCGTCCTTGCCAGGAGGAGGTCAGAGCCTGGCAGTGGGCGAAGGACCCTGGGCCCACAGCCCCTCCCCAACAGTGGGGCCTTCCAGCCTCCGGAGGGGCAGCAGAGCCGCCCCCTCCTAGCTCTGCGGGGAGGCCCCAGGCAGGCCAGGCTCCAGGGCAGGACCTGTGACCAGAGACGGCCAGGGAGTCCCAGGTGGCCCCAGGCACCTCGACCTCGACAGCAGTGAGTGCGGATCCACGGCGGCCACCAAGTTCAGTGGGCAGGGTGGGCAGCACAGAGGGGCGGGGGAGGCTAGCCAGGCTCAGGGGAAGGTAGACCAAGCGTGCTGGCCAACGGCTGGTCAGCTCCTGGGCCAGCCAGCGGCCCGCCACCGAGGCCTGGCCACACTGGCCCGAGCTGAGAGGCGGGTGGACCTGGGAAATGGTGCAGCCCCAGGGTGCCGGGGGCCCGCTGGGCCTGGCAGAACCTGCTGTGTCCTGGGGCCAGACAAGCAGGACCCCCCGGCGTGGGGGGTCGGAGAGCAAGTCACCTTGAGAGGTGTGGGGGGGGGGTTTGTGCTGAGGCCTCCCCAACTCCCAGAATTAGCCAGCAACAACTGGCATGCTGGGTTTCTAAACTCACCCCCGGACACACAACTGCAGCCAACAAGAGCTGTGATTTGGTTCAGTGAGGGCCAGAGGAACGGAGGGGGCGGAACGCGAGCCGTTTCATGGACCCCGGCTCCTCGGGTGCTGCAGTCTTAACCAGGCCAGGCGACGGCCTGGGTTCTCCCCACCGCGCTGGGGGGCTTTCTCTCCACCCCCCTCAGGCAACTGCGGCGAGGGAGGCCAGGCCCCAGCCACCAGCCCGGGGTGGGGTGAGAGTTCGTCTTAAGTGTTCAATGCAACAGCTATGTGTGCGGCCCCAGGGCCCACAGAACGGGCCCCGGGGCCCAGGGCAGGCGCGGGTCTGATGGCTGCCCTTCCTGCCTCGCTCCTCCCACAACAGCGTGGGCACCGTTGTCAAGGCTGACCCAGGACCATTCCTGGCACCGGGTCCACTGGAGCCCCCTGCCCCCAGGCCTGGGATCAAGGCAGTACCGGTGAGCCCTGCCTGCCACCTGCGGCGGGCCCTACCCCTCACCTTCTAAGCGTCTAAGTAGGACGTCTAAGCGTCAGGGTGGGTCTACCTGTCCCCCTGGGGCCTCAGTCAGGCTTCTGAAAGAGCTGAGCCCCTGCCCCGTCCCCCTGCCTCCCTCCTGGGGTGCTAGGTTAAGGCTGCCCAGGGCTCAGATGGGGTTCCTCCAGACGGGCCCAGAACCCCATGTCTCTGGAAAGGGACACGCAGGGGCCAGGGAGGAGTGAGCCCCTGACCAGCCTGGCTCAGAGGCTGGCACCACCTTCATCGTGGCCAAAAGGGAGTGGGACTCGGACAGGGTCACCCTGCCATACTAGGGGTCAGGGGGATCGGACAACTCTTCCCAGGAACCCATTGCTGCCCAGATGCTGGGGCGGACAGGAACAGCCAGGAGTCCAGACGTTAAAGCCAGGCAGCCTCTGCCCTGGGCCCCCAACAGGCCCTGTGAGGGGACCAACAAGGCCCCCACCTCGAAGACAGAGGTCCATCCTGCCCTGGCACCTCCTGGCCCGGAGAGAGGCCTCCCCCGCGGACGTCTCTGGAGCTCCTGGGACCAGCATCACAGGGGCAGTGAGTCCCACACCCACCGCTCGGGGAGCAGGCCCAGGACCCAGGAGTCTTAATCCACAGGCTCCCTGCCCCCACCGCCAGCCCCAGGACCGTGTTATTTAGAGATCCCACAGGCCAGGAACCTCACAGAAACAAAACCCAGGCAGGCACGCCTACGCTATGAATGGTAGTGCCATCTGCCCAGTGAATCGCGTTAATTGGACAAAAGCTACACAAGCTTTGCTTCCTCCAGGAAAATTGCTCCCCTCTTTAATACTCAGCCTCCGCTTCCCATGGCCCCAGCAGCCTTTGCTGGAATTAGACCACAGCTGCAGCCCAAACCCAGAATAAAACACCCAAGTGTGTGGCACGCGCTGCCGAAAAGGCCCCGGGCCCCCGGTCTCAGCAAGCGAAGAAGTCAGGAAAGATGCTGTCCACCTCGTCCCGCAGGACCGGGCTAGGGCAGCTCACATCCGAGCCCCACGGCTCCAGGGGCCCGTCCAGGGGCTCCTCCTGGGGGCCAGACTCGGGGTCTCCCAGGAAGCCCGGCTCAAGCCTGTCCAGCGGGCTGCTCCTGGCGGCCGCCCGAGAAGGGGCGCCACTGCCTCTGCCCTCCAGGGACCCTGGAAGCAGACGAGACATGTCAGCAGGGCGGGCAGGGTAGGGTCAGCGTACAGGAGATGAGCCCCCTCCCCCTCGCCCATCTATCCCACCCCACCAGGAAGGCCCCTGCTCATCTTGAGAAGGGCCCCTGACCAGGTGGGCTCCTGCGGCCCGACCCCCGGAAGCGCCAGAACTAGAGAGATGCGCCCCCTTCAGGCCAGATTCTGCACACGCTCGACTCACCCCGCACCCACGTGCCTCTGTGGGCACGAGTTCTCGAGGGAAAGCTCCGAAGCCGACTCACAGCCACGGACACCCAGCACTTGCACACTCTCACCCGCAGACACCCACTCGTCGACAAGCACGCACCTCACCTGCCAATACTCCCCCCCGCAGTGGTCCCCCAAAACACGGGCAGAGAAGGGAATGAGAACTCACAGACGCTGGAACTCGCATCACTTGGCAAGCTGGAGCCCATCTCCCCACAGTCCCAGCCGCCTGTCCCCAACCCTGCCTGAGGACCAACCCAGGCCCCAGGTTGGGGGAAGGTGGCCCAGGCCAAGCGTCCCCACTCACCCAGCCACCAGTCGGGACCAGGGGTCAGCAGAAAGGACGCGCCATCGGCCACATCACATCCTGACACAGACCTGGACGGGACGAGAAGCCCCACCCCGATCGTCCCAGGTGGAGCCTGGGCCTTGCACCTCGAGAAGGGCATGGGCCCAGAGAGGCAGCTTACTGATGGGCCGCTCCGTCCCACCGGACCCTGAGCCCACCCTCCTACCCACCCAGCCTAGCCCAGCCCAGCCCAGCCCAGCCCGCTGCCAGTTCCTCTCCAGCCCCCCGAGAGCTCTCGGCCCACGCCCCAGCTGGTGGAGCTCAGAAAACACAAACTCATTTACCATCAGCCAAAACAGACGACAATTAGGGAGACAGGAGTGTTTCCCGACACACACACACACATACACACCACAAAGCCACATGGCAGAGTCTGGCCATCCGGGCAGACAGCGAGGACGGGATGGGTAGAAACCTCCTGGACAGCGGGTCCGGGGCTGGGGGGCTGGGAGGAGGCCTTGGCAGCTTGTGCACACGCGGCCGGGCACCCACCTGGAGTCCAGCATCAGGGCCTTGTCGGCACCCTGAGCAGGGGGCCCAGCCTGGCCCAGGCAGCTCCGAGGCTCCTCACTCACCAGCGGGGAGGGGGGCTGCTGCGAGCGAACTGGCCACAGAGGGGACGGCCTCAGGACCTTGGGGGGTCTCGGGCCTGGGGACCGGGGGACGAGGCCGGGCGACTCTACGAGGGAAGCAAGGAGTGGGTCAGGGAGAGTGAACCCCCCACACCCCCCCGCCGAAGACCACCACCCCTGCCCACTGCATCCTGCACGGGGAATGCGTGAGGCTTGGGAACAAGAAGCCAACAGGCAACTAGGAGACGTTAAGAGTCCAGAGGTGAAGCACCCGACACCTGGGGCCAGGCAGGCCGCCTACAGGATGTGGCCGCTCAGCCTCTGATCAAACAGGTGGGCTCAGACCCCGGGACCCTCACACCCCACCGCCTTCTCTATCTCCAGGTTCCCATCCACCCTGCCGTGTGACCCCTCCACCCCCACGACCCTCGTGCGGCTCTGGACTTTCCCCGGAGGCATAGCTCTGCTTGGAGAAGGAAACGGCAACCTACTCTAGTGTTCTCACCTGGAGAATTCTACAGACAAAGGAGCCTGGAGGGCTACAGTCCAGGGGGTCACGAGAGTCGGACACGACTCAGCGGCTAAACCACCACCAGCTCTCCTGCCGGCCCTGCCGACAGCAGGATCCCCCCCCCGCCTGGGTGGGCACACACAGTCTCGCCTCCCGCGGCACTCATGGACCAGCAATCACGGTCCGGGGAGCCACCCACAGCCGGCCGTCCAGCATGAGGGGGACACGGTCATCGTGGCGGCCTCGTGGACCTGGCTGGGGATGGCACATGGGGAGGATGGGACCCACTCATGCTCACCAGGTGGGGCCAGCGGCCTGTCCAGCACGTCAGCCACCCCCGACAGGGCCTCATCTTCGTCCACACTCGTGGCCGCGCAGCTCGGGGGGGTCTGATGCCTGCACGATGTGCAAAGACAAAAGGAAAGCCTCTGAGTGGTCCGCACACCGCCCCCCCACAGCCCCCGGCCCCACGGGGACACTGACATCACACTGGACGTTTCCGCGCCGGTGTCCGGGGCACCTGCCGGGGCCTGACTCGCCAGGGCCAGCTGCAGGACATCCGTCTGCCACGCGAGCCACGGCTCCTTGGAGGAAGCGAGAACCTGAAGCAGAGACAAACAGGAGAAACGCCGCCGAGACCGTCAACTGGAAAACCCACATGAAAGGCAGGCTGTGGTCGGTCCCTGGCCACCCCGCCTGGGGTCGCAGAGAGCCACCCTGAGCTCAGACCCCTGTCCTCCGGACTGGGAGGAGGAAGGCTGGAGTTGGTGCCCCACCCTGGAGTGGGGGGGGGTGGACTTTTACTGATGCCAGCTTTGGCACCATGGGCAAGGGACGTAAGTGGAGACTGCAGGTCATCCCCAGGGCTCCCAAAGGAGGTGTGATAAGCAAATGGAGGAGTGTCTACTGGAAACAGCAGAGCTGGGCGTGCGGGGCGGGGACACAGGGAAGCCAGGCTGCCCGGTGGTCGGAGCTTCCAGGGAATAGAGGGGGACTGGGAGCAGGGAGATACCCATGGCTCCTCCCCAGAGGGCTGACCCAGCGGTCACAGGATGACTCACAGCCTGCTGCTCCCAACCGGGCACCAGGGTGCCTGCCAGCTGGAGGAACTGCACTGCCATCTCCAAGACCGAGGCCATGTCCTCCTTCCGGCCATCAAACCAGGGCAGCAGAGCCCGCAAGCGCTCACAGCTCAAGGAGATCCGCTTCCTGCTCGCAGAGAAGGGACCCCCGACTGTAGGGCTGTCTGGCTTGGCCAGGAGAAGAGACAGCAGCCCCAGGAAGCCGTGAGCCCTTCAGGAATCGGGTCAGAGCACTGCACTGGCCCCTGGGGAGCCTAGACCCCAGCCGCAGGCTTAGCAGGGCATCTGCCACGGGCCACCACCAAGCCTAGACCACCACCACTGCCTGGAGCAGGGAGCGGTCCCAAATATACAGCCTCGAGTTGTTCTGGACTTCACGTCAAAGAAAGGGCTGCACTGGTGGCCCCTGGGAGCTCTCCCCCAGCACGTAGGCTATATTTATCTTGAAAACACGATACAGCGTCCCCTTACCAAACAGCTGTCTGAAACGAGGCGGTGGGCGCAGGCCTGCCCTCCTCCTCGGACCCCCGCCCCCACCGCGCGGTCCCCACGACGGCCCCCACCTGCGCTCCCTCTCGCTGAGCACGTTTCGTGGCAGGCGGGAGCCGGGACCCTCCGCCACCGGAGGCCCCTTGGTCTGGCCCGAACCCTGGCTGGGGTGGTCCTCGCAGCAGAACTGGGTGCTCGATGGGAAAGGGCCACTGCCGCGAGAAAAAACAAGAGCGCGGGGCTGTGACCCCAGAAAACGCCCCTAGTACCCAGAGGCGGCGATGAGCGTCTTAGGAGCGGGGGTGGGGGGCGCAGGACAGGGGCCTGGGACACGGCCCCGTGGGTCCTGCCTCTGGGCACCCCTCCTTCCCCTCCCAACCTCCAAGGACCAGCGGGTCGGGGTGGGCCCCAAGCGGGCCATGCTGGGTGTGGCTCGGACTCGGTCTCGTTTGAATTAGAAAAGAGTTGGCCCGGACCACCGCCCGCCCCCCACCCCACCCCGAGCATCCCTGGGCAAGGGCATCCCAGCTGACCCCCTCCAGCAACCGCTCCCCAATTCTCACCTGCATCCCCGGGAAACTCGCGGAACCCCAGCGCGGGGCTCACGAGCCCCGGACGCCATGAGCTCGCGCGGAAGAGAAGCGGAAGGCCCCGGACCCTGCCACGTGCGCCCCGCCCCACGCACACGTCCTCCCAGCCCCGCCCCCTCACGTGCGTTCTACCCGCCCCCCACGTGCTTCCGGCCAGGACGGAGCCTGCCCCGCCCCCACACGCGTGCTCTGTGCCCGCCCCCTCCCCCACACCAGCTGCCCCGCTTCTGCGCCCCTTCCTGCGGTGAGGTCCGTCTGTAGGAGAAATTGCCAGAAAGGCGCGCCTGGGTTAGTGCCCAAGGTGGACAGTCGTCTCCCACCGCTTCCGGCCGGGCAGCCCAGCTTCCCACTGGAGCGGGGGTCTCCTCTATCCTGCCCTCCGCGGGCACCCCGAGGTGCCAGTCCTGAGCTGGGGCGCTCCCCTGAAGGGTCTCACAACTGAGGGTGGGGCGGCGGGGGGCAAGAACAGGGTGGAGGGGGGGCCGGACGGGGGTCCATCAGGATGAGGACCGAACTGGGCAAAGCTTCCCAGGGAAGGAGCCCAGGTGGGTTCCTGGGCTGGCACGTGGGCCTGGTGGGCAGGGAGGACCTGCCTCTGTGGCAGGAAGCGTTGGTCTTATGTGAGAGCGCAGGAGGGAACTACAGGACTGGCGGCGGGATCAGAGGAAGATTTTAGGACCCTTGTGGGCCCCCCTGGGGCAGGGTTGAGAGGCTGGGGGAGCTACATGCAAGAGGAGCTGGGAGGCTGGTCAGCAGAGATCTCCAGGACTTCAGCTGGTTAAGGATGAGCAGAGAGCCTTCACCGGCCTCTGAGGGCCTGCAGGTCCAAGGTTGACGTGTGCCCCTACCCCAGATCTCATCCGTGTCCAGGGGGTCCTGCCTAAGCCAGTGCCACCACTGACCTAGGAGCTGCGGGCATGCCCACTCCTCCCAGGCGTGCCTGTGATCCCACCCACCTTCTCTGTGCCCTCCCTAGCTTCCGGCTTACTGGAAGGCTGGCTGGCCTTCCTGCCCCTTCCACCCAGGCCGTGGCCCACCCGCCTGCCCTCCATCTTCCTCCACCTGCCCTCCGGCCCTCCTGCCCTGACAGGGGCCTTGGCTCCTGCTCTTCACCCCCCAGCTCAGGCCTCGCTACAGGGAGCCGCCATCTCTAGCAGGTTGGTGCGGGCAAACCTCCCTTTGCCCACTCCTGACACTCCAGTGTGAGTGGCTGGGTCTCTAGGCCTGTGCTCCTGTGGCTGGATCTCTGGGGGCCGGCCCAGTGCTGGGCGTACAGCCCACCGAGTCTGGTGGAGCAATGATGGAAGAAAAGAGGGAGGAAGGGGAAAGTGGAGATGCCGCCTCTTTCAAGGAGGTGGGCTTGTAACGGGAGAAGAGGGCACTACGGCCTTATTTCAGTTGGGAGAACGTCAGAGCTTATGCTGAAGGGGGCTGCTGGGGGTGTGCGGGGCCCTTCCTGGGGGAGGTCATGGGCTGGGGGAGACCTCATCTCCCAGGAGGGGAAGCAGAAGGGAGCTGGGGCAGGTGTCCCTGCAGTGGGTGGAGTCTACCCCAGGTGCTCCTCCTGGGACGGGGCCAGGGGCCAGAGCAGAGCCTCTGTCCCAGGAAAGCGAGAAACCTGTCTGCAACTGAGGATGGGCTGGGGGCTGCAAGAGGGCGTCCTCGGGTTGGACTTTGGACAGAGGGGCCTGGGATTAAGGGGGCGCTGGGCAGGGGACCGAAGTCACAGCCGAGGGCGATGCTAAGAGGGTGGATGGACCTGGGATCAAGTCTGGGAGCAGGGAGACCCAGGCCTGGGAACCAGGCCAGCTCTCCCGACAGAAGAAGGGGCTCGGGGGCCCCTGCTGCCTGGTCACGCTCAGCCCACAGCCCGGCTTCTGGGCTGAACCCAAGAAAGGCTGGGGATAGTTGGTTCTGCTAGCACCTAGGGCCCGGCGTTTACGGGAGGTGTGAGGAGAAGCCAGGCTCCGTGCCCTGGGAGGGTTCCCGGTGCCCAAGGGAGGGCGGTGCTGGAGTAGACCCCACAGAGAACGTTGGCTATGAGTGTGCAGGCGCCCATGGTGGGGGGGGGGGGTGTTGGGGCAGGTGGGCTCCGTGCTCCCGGCTAAGGAGGGATGGACGGGCCGGTGTTCTGGGGCTTGGCTCCTCCATGGCAGAGAGAAGCCATGTTTTGTTTTCCTTGACGACGTCAGGAATGTTACCAGGCTTGTCTGTTTCCCGTCAGTGACACCGCAGGCCAGTCATCTCATTGACCAACCAGCAGGGCACCTCCAAGGGGTCTGTAAGACGGACACATTGGCCAGAGTCCTACTGGGGCGGGGGGGACAGGGGTGGGACCACTCAGGAGGGAGCAGGGGAAGGCCCCAGGGTGCAAGACTGCTGGTGAGCGGCTTGGGGGTGCACGCTGCCCTCTGGAGAACTTTGGGGCGATCCATGCCTTCACCGAGTGCCCCCTCCGGGAAAAGCACAGTGTTGAGCTTGCTGTCTCCTGGGAGTAAATAGAGATGAGACCTCAGGAGCGACAGGCGTCAGGACCACAGAGTACCTGCATGCGCCCTCCCAATCAGCGGGCCCAGCTCTGCCGTGGCAGCCCCTGCCCTGACCGCGCCAGGGTGGGGGCGGGTTGGTGCCCGGGGCCTTGAGAAGAGCTCCCTGGGTGGTGCTGGCTCAGTGGCCCTGCCCCATCTGACGCCCCAGCCCCTCACCCTTTTTTCAGAGACTGCTCTCTTGCCCCTCTCTCTCTCTCTCTCTCTCTGCTTCTCTGCCGTGCTTCTGTTTCACTGAGGGTCAGGACGGGGTGGGGGGGGGGGGTTTCTACCTGCAGGACTCTGCGTGGGGGCGGGGGGTGTGGGGGGGAGCCCTGAGCCAGGATGTCCGTGTTAGCCTGTGGCGGGTGTCACCAGTCAATCCCTCTGCTTCCTGGGCACCTTCCCTTGGGTCGTGGGGCTGGGGCTCATGGCAGAGGCCCCGGTGGGGTGTGGGGGGAGCACTCACTCTCGCCTCCCGCGCTCTGACCTCACTTCCCTCTTCACGCCCAGGGGCCTCCCAGGGGTGAGGCCGATGCGGATGGACACACGGGGTCTGTGTGCTGATGTCTGCAGGAGTGACCTGTGCCGTGAGGCAGGGGTCGGAGGGGCGGGTCAGACGCTGACTGGCCGCCCCTCCTGCCCCAGAGCCGGGCAGGGTCAGCCGCGCAGGCGCCCTCACCCATGAAGCGTGCAGAGGCCCCCAGCCCCCTCGGAGTGCCTCCCACTGTGTAACCCTGCCCCCCGGGGGGGGGGGGTGGTCTTTGGGTTTGTTTTTTTTTTTTAGCTTTTTTTTCCACTTATTTTTATGTGTTGGAGGCTAATTACTTTACAGTATTTTAGTGGTTTTTGCCGTGCATTGACATGAATCAGCCATGGATTTACATATGGTTTTTTTTAGCTTTTGAAGAGCCTGTGCCCAGGGTCTCGGGATTACGCGGGACCTCGGAGGCTGGGTCTCATGTGGGACGCGGAGGGACCACCGCCCCCTCCCTCGCGCGGTTCCCGGCGTGGCCGGCAGGGGGCGCGCCCGCACCGGCGTCGAAACCTTCCCTGGAACAGGAGTTTTTTTTTTTTTCCCACCCCCACCGAAATCAGAGAAGTGTTTCAGGGCACAGCGCGGGGAGGGGGGTGGAGGAGAAGAAGTCTCCTGTCGCTCCCGCTGTGTCCCTTGCCTCCCAGTCGCAGCCGCCGCCAGCCCAATGCAGCTTCCCGATGGGGTGCACAGTCCCGGGGATGTCTGCAGGGCGGCGCGCGGCGTGGGCCACACCAACCGGACCTTCGTGTTCGACGACGGCCAGTGCGCCCCCAGGTACGGTCTTCCGGGCCCCCCACCCCCCCCATGCGGAGAGACCCCGGATGGGGTTCGTGCCACCCTCCCAGCACCCCTCATCCTCAAAATCTCCACTTCGCTAGGCCGCCTGCCCCGCATCCCCACCCCTGCCACCAGCGTGAGCTCAGGTCCCCACTGAGCCTGGGGCGCGTGGGCGAGAGGGCTGCCCCTCGGGGCCGGGTTGCAGCACTCTGGGCACTTGCACGCAGATCACCAGCAGGTGCCCAGGCTGCTGTTTGTCTCTGCACCCTTGGTGGAAGGGGCCACGGCGTGGCCAGGCTTACATACATCTCCCAGGCACCAGGAGGCACAGACCTTGCAGGCAGGAAGCTGGGGTGCCCTCTGTGTCAGAGGGGCTGGGTGCTGTGCCGGCTTCCCAGCCCCCTCTCTGGTCGGGCCTGGGGGAGGCGAGTGTGGGCCGGCCTGGCTGGGCCCAGCGAGGCTCAGGAGTAGGCTCCCCCTGGTTTCCAGGGGCAGTTCCTCCTGGGAAGAGCCCTGTGGGGGCTGCAGTCAGGCTGTCAGGCAAAGGGCAGGGGTGCTGGGGTCTAGGCCCATGGTGCTCGCCGGCCGGTAGCTCCTCTGTTTGTCCACGTGCTTGAGGAGAGGGTGGACTAGCAGGGCCTTCCGGGTGGCCGGGAGGTGACCTTCCCGGTGCCGTGTACACGGTGCCACCTGGCCCCCAGTGACCAGCACCGAGGGCGCAACGCTGGTGGGAGCCCCGCAAGGGCAGAGCAGTGACCATCCCAAGAGGGTTTGCCCCGGGGCCCTGTCCTGGGACCCTCCCCCGACCCCACCAGCCCCCGGAGGGTCAGCGCACACACATACTCCTCACCCTCGGCCAGGCGCCAGACTCCAGGTCAACCACAGCCACTGCCCGGCACGACCCTCCCCAGCTCAGCAGCACCCTGGCCTCTGGGTCCCACTCGGTCAGCTGTCCTAAGGCCAGAGAAGGGGTGGACACCTGGTTCAAGGCCAAGCGCTGTGGCCATTTCCTGGGGGACTCAGTTTCCCCGCTTGTCAAGTAAGGAATGGAATGGATGACCTTCAAGGGAGGGCCGTGTGTGCTGAGTGACCAGGGTCTGGAGGGCCAGGGTCTGGCCACATGTCCAGGGTCAGGGTGGCCCCTCGGCAGGGACGGCACCAGCCTGGCACCTGTGGGGTCCTGGGGGCATAGCTTGGGGCGAGTGCTCTGAGATCAGGCCACCTGGTGGTGTCCTTGGGAACTGAAATCAACCACATGAATAGGCACAGTCTCAACCTCCCTTGGGTGGCTCTGAGGGTCAACAGGTAACATCCATCAGGTGCAGAGTAAGTGACCCTGAGACGGGGTATTGCAGCATCACAGTCTGACTGCCCCTCTGCCTGTCTCCCTGCTTGGAAGACTGTCACCCATCTTCCTGGTGATCTGTGTCCCGGTTCTCCCGCTGTACTGGATGGCCTGCTCCAGACGAGGCGGGGGCTCTGTATCCTGAGGTCTAGACTGGGTGGACTCAGTCCCCCGGACGCCTCCATCTCCCCCCGGACAGTGCCCTCCCCCTGGCCGGAGCTGGCCTCTGTCCCTGCAGGATTCCCAGTCGTGCTGCAGGCATCTGGGGTGGCTGCCAGGGCCGAGGGGCACGTCAGGTGGGCCGGGTAGGGGGGAAACCTGGCTGGGCTGCAGTGGGGCCGCTGTGGCCAAGGCCAGCAGCTCAGGGAAACGGGCTTCAGCTCTGAGAAAGGAGGTGGGGGAGGGTGCAGGCAGGGAGTGGGGGGTGTTCTGCCCCTGTCTGGCTTCCAGCCCTGCCTGGTCCCCGGGCTGCCCCCAGGCTGTGAAGCCTGGCATGGTGGTGGGGGGAGGCCCCAGGAGGATTCCAGGCCGCAGGAGTCTTGGCCCTGGTGCCTAGTTCCCTGTCTGCCCCGGGGCCTCCCCTCTGTGCCCAGGGGTCCGCTGCCCCATCCGTCACCTGTTGTCACTGGGCACTGTCCTCCCGGCCCTGCTGTGTCCCCAGGCCCTGCCGCCTCTGCCCTGCAGGTGGGCGAGGGCGTGGCTGGGGCGTCCGCAGCTGCCCCCGAGCTGGCCGGTGCCCGCCTCCTGCCCAGTGGCCTTACGGTGCTGCTTGTGTCTGCCTGCTGGTCTGTGTGTCACCCGTGCCCTTGCGCCAGCTCTGCCCGCCGTCCGTGTGGGTGTCCCAGCCTGCCTGAGAGCCTGACTAACCCCGCGTTACCCTGGCATGGCAGGGGTCAAGCCTTATTAGCACAACTTCCCGTCTCTTGGAGGGTTTTGTGACTGACCCCCCCGCCCCCACCCAGGGCCAGCGTGGGACCCTCGGGGCCCTCATGCAGAGGGCATAGATCCACGGCTGGCATCCCGCCAGGGTCCATGTCTGGCTGGAGGTTCGGGCCAGCCCTCCAGGCCCATATTAGGGAGCCGTGCCTGCAGGACAGCAGGAAGTGGCCAAGATTCCGTGGGAAAAGGTTCACAAGGCCTGAGGTCCAACCCAGCCCTGTCCAGCCAGAGAGCCGGCTTCCTGGTGTAGGGGCTGGAGGGAACTCGGGGGCTTGCCTTTGGCCAGGAGTGGCTACGGCCGCAGCTCGGGAGGGCACAGGTGAGTGAGAAGGGGATTGGGGGGGGTACCTGCATGGACTTGGCTTGTGTCCAGGTGTGGGTCTGAGGGTGTCCTCACGCCTTGTTCTGACCACTGTCCATGTGGTGTCCAGGCCCATCTGAAAGTGGAAGTCAGTCATGTCTGACTCTTTGCGACCGCATGGACTGTACACCCCAGGGAATTCTCCAGGCCAGAATACTGGAGTAGGTAGCCTTTCCCTTCTCCAGGGCATCTTCCCGACCCAGGAATTGAACCCAGGTCTCCTGCATTGCGGGCAGATTCTTTACCAGCTGAGCTAGCAGGGAGGCCCGTCTGAGAGTCCGACGAACCCCGAGTTACCCTGCACGGCAGGAGTCCAGCCTTGTTAGCACAATTAGCCCTCTTCTCAGAGGGTTTCGTGACTGAACTGTGACCTCTCCCCTGAGGCTTCTTGTTCGCTCTCCAAGGCAGCGCATAGGCCGGCCATTCCCGGGTGTGTGGAGTCTCTGGGTGGAGCCTGCAGACAGTGGCGCCCGGGAGGAGCACCTGATGATGCAGGTGTTCTTAAAGGAGTCGTGAGAACTCTCCCAGGCTGTGTGCTCGGATGGGCCATCCACGTGTGCCAGAACCTCTTCCTCCTGCGGGGCCCGGGGGTGGGGAGGTCGGCCCGAAGCCGGGGCCCGTACCAGGTCCCGGCAAGTTCAGATGAGATAGAAGGCCCGCTCTGGGCTGTGGTGCCTGGAAAGGCCTGTCCCAGGAGGTCTGCTCTGTGCTTTGGACTGCCCACTTAGGGGCGTGTTCCGGGGTGTCTCCTGTAGTCTCCCTGGCTGTGGTCAGCTTGTCCTTCGTGGGCCAGTGAGGCCCAGAAGCCACCCTGCATTGCCAGCCTTGCGGGCCTGGATGCTGCCCACACGCTGACAATGACGTGACCAGAAACCCACCTCCTGCCTCTGCCCCAAGACGGGCCCCGCCTGGGCCTTCAGCCGCCTTCACAGAGACCCAGATTCGGGGCCAGAGGCCGCTGCTGGACGCCTCTTGGCAGGTGTCTGATCTTGGGAAGAGCACAGAGTCTCAGACCAGAGGAAGAGGCCCCAGGTGCCGGATGAACGCAGAGTTTAACCCCATCTGGCAGACACGGGAGCCCCCAGGGTGTGGGGAGGGGGAGCCCTGACATGTTGGCAGGTTTGAGGAGGGGCGCAGGGAAGCCAGCAGGGATCAGATCCTCAGGGACCCGGAGTTCTACGGAGGGGCCCTGCGGGTATGAAGTGTCCCGTGTGGGCAGGGTATCCCGCCTGGGGCCCGACCCCCGGACGAGGCCTGGGCGCCCTTGCAGGCCGTGCCAGCCGTGGGGCCTGGGGCTCAGCAGGGACACAGTGCTGCCTCCTGCAGCCGCGGGAACAGGGCACGCAGGGCAGCTTTCCACCTCCAGGTGGACCCCCGCCGCTCAGCCCAGGCCTCTGTGTGGTCCCCCCGGCATCCCCCCCACCAGCAGCCACCCTACGTCCAGCCAGGGGACGGGCAGCCAGGCGGTGAGTGCTGGGCCTGCGACCTGGATGTGCACACACTGCCTGGCTCCAAGGGGCCTGGGCACCCTGTGAACACTCGGGGGGTACTTGCAACAGGGCCCTCCCCAGAGGCAGGCCCCAGTCCAGGTGGGTGGCCGGGCGGGGTGGGCGCTGCAGTCCCCGTGGCTTCTGCTCCCCCGTGTCCTGGGGGCGGGCCCAAGGCTTGGGGAAGGCCGGGGAGGGGGGAGGTGATGGACACGGCCGAGGCCCCGTGTCACAGGGATGCCAGGCCCCTCCTCCCATCCCCTGGGCTTGCTTGGCGCGTGGGAGAAGCTGCTAGGAGTCTCTGTGGTGCCTCTGGAGCTTGAACTCGGCTCAACGATGCGTACTGAGCTTTCACTTCAGATTCTGATGCCCCTCAGAGGGGGTGGTGAGCGGCCATCCTCAGCATTGACTCGAAGCCCCCTCCCCTAGTGGGAGGGTGGATAATTCCCGGAAACCGCCCCCCTCCCCCACAACCACCCCTGGCTGCTAGACAGCTGGAGCAGCCCTGGCTTTTTAATTACAGGACCGAGGAAGCACTTAGCTTTCCTGTCGTGGTCAGCAGAGACTGGCGGCGGCTTTCTGCTTCCCTGGGCACCGAGCCCGGCGCCCGACTGCCCTCCACCCTCCGGGGGTGCTGCAGTGTCTGAGGACTTGCCTGGGTGCTAGGCAGTGTGAACATATGCGGCTGCACACACCTGTGTGTGTGCGCACGTGCACATTGTGTGTTCACCTGCACATCTGCATGCACGCACCCGCCATCCATCTGTCGGTCGTGGTTCTCCAGTGTTGAAGGATGCAGCTTAGAAGAAGGACCACATCCTTGAGCCAAAGGGGCATCGATCAGTCACACGGTGGGTCGACTTGA